TTTGGGGAATTCCAATGAAATGAAATTCTTTTGAAAATATTTAAAATTCTTTCGAAATTTTCTTCGAAATGTTCCGTACAAAAACATGTTCCCGTATAATATTATTGTATTCACGAATTTAATTAAATTTACGAATTCTGGGAAAAGTTTAGTGAATAATTATTGGTATTGACATTAGAATATTTGTTTAAAATTGATTAATTTATTGTAACCGTCCTACGATTATGTTACGATCGTTTTGTATTTCGAAAGACTTTTTCGGATTTTTCGGAAGTGAAGGTTAAATACATATATTTAAAATATAATATGTCAATAAAGTAATATTTCAAGAAAATGACAATTTAAATTAGAAATGTGGAAATTGAGTTTTTAGAAAAAAATGTAAATAATTTGGTTTTACCAAATTTTATGAACTTACATAAATAACAGGTGGGCTGAAAAGTCCGTATCGTTTCAATGAAAAAATATTTTTTTTGACAAATTTCGCTTTTATTATTCAACATAGTTGCCTTCAAGAGCGATACAGCGATTATAACGGTCTTCAAGTTTTTCGATACCCTTCCGGTAGTAATCCTTCGACTTGTCCTCAAAATAGGCTTCAGTTTCGGCGATGATTTCTTCGTTGGTGTGAAATTTTTTTCCAGCGAGCAATCTCTTAAGGTCCGAGAAGAGGAAAAAGTCGCTTAGGGCAAGGTCCGAGGAATACGGTGGATGGGGGAGCAAGTCGAAGCCCAATTCGTGCAATTTCGACATCGTTTCGCCACGTGGACTTGTGGCACGGCGCATTGTTTTTTTCTTCTTCATTTGTGGCCGTTTCTTGGCCATATAGTAGTCGCTGTTGATGGTCTGGCCCTTTTGGAGATAGTCGATGAAAATGATTCCTCGCGGATCACAGAAAACAGAGGTCATGATCTCTGTTTGCTGACCGTTGCGTCTTTCGACGCTTCGGAGGTGGTTCAGATGCAGCCGTCCACTCGGCCGACTGACGGTTTGACTCCGGTGTGTAGTGGTGGAGCCATGTTTCGTCCATCAAGCCATTTCTTGCATTCAACGGCACTTTTTTTCATCAAAAAATAATGTTTCATTAACAGACGAAACTCTTGACTTTCCATGGTTTTCAAAAATAACGATTAGCGTCACTCTCGATACGATAACTCACAAACTAATGATCCGACAGCTGTCAAATTTTGACAGGCATCTTTTGAAGGTTGGTTTTACCTAAGAAGGGTATGAATTTTATTCTGTTGGCGCCATCTCATAGAAACGATACGGACTTTTCAGCCCACCTGTTAAATTTTCAAATTGTTATTATGCTTTAGGTTACGCTTCAATAATGGTGGCTGAAATATACGCTATTTTCAAAATTTGATTATTTATGTTGAAAAACTCATTATAGCCTTGTGGGTTCTTGGAACTTCTTCTTGTAAAATTTGTTTTACATTTCGATCATTACTTTCCAGTTTTTTTGATTTATTCAACTTTCATGTTCGAAATGTAATTTAGCATAATATTATATTAGCGATAATACATTTAAAATTTTAATAAAATCACAATTTTAATATTTTAATATTATACAAAAATATTTTAATTTCCCTTCCTTTCATCAAAATATAAGTAGAAACAACTCGATGACGTTTCCTTGCCAAATCATAAAGTTCCGTTTAAAAGCGTTTTTTACATTCCAGTGAAAATTTTTGCAAAAAAAAACAAAAAAAAAATTAAATAAAATAGAGGGGGAAAAATAATGCGAATAAATAATAATAAAATGAATAAAATAACAGCAGAGGGCGCCAATATTGAAATTATTTTATTAAATGTTCGTGTGTTTATACCACCTTCTTTTATTATAGCCTAAAGCAAAATCGAATGTATAAAATGAATTTTATTATTGTCTTTTGTTTGTGTTCTTTTTTTTTTATTTTTTAAATGTGATACATACATATTACATACATATTATATACAAGTATGTACGACTATTGTGTATTTTAACATTTGTTTATTTTTTAACTGTAGATACATATACAGTCGTTTTAACGGTATATTTTGTATTAATGTCAATATTTGTATACTACGACTAAATATACATACATATGTATGTACACAGTCATATAATATAACTGTTGCATGTCAATTATAACATTTTTTTGCTCTTAAATTCATCTAGGTACTACACTTATTTCGTTTGATTAATTTTCCATTTTAGTGTTCAGTAAATTTTAAAAAAATTGCATTAAAATTGCGTGTTAATTTAAAAATAAATAAAGTGTTAAAATTTTAAAATGAGGTTATAAAAATTTTATGAAAATTCCAAATAAAAAAAAAGTGTTATTTATTTCGGTCAGTTCAATAAATTATTTATTTTTAATAAAAAATCATAATGCACCTTGCAATCTAATTTTTACTTTATAGGTTTCAATGTTTTTGATTTTACGGTAACACTATGTAATCGAACTCACTTTGTGTCTTTAGATAATCGAGATCACACACTGGGGGGTGGAACAAATTATACCTTTCTTAATAAGAATATTTAGACCGCAGAATACTGGCAATGGCTATGGTGGTTTTTATCCCCAAGGTAGGAAAAAGGAATATGGTACCCAAAGCATTCAGACCGATTATCTATCGTTTTTATTCAAGACGATGAGAATATAATAGTGAAATATATCCGGACTGATAAAAGGCCGCTAAGCGATTGTCAGCATGCATATCGTTCAAGGAGGTTGACAAAGACCTCTTTGTTCCGGCTTACTAGCACCCTCGATAGGAAAACAGAACAAAAAAGGTGGAGCTATGTGCGTTTTTGGAGATTGAGTGGTTTTTGACAACAGTTTACATAAGACAATTACGAATGCCTTAACGAGTAGAGACGTGGATGCCACCATCTCTCTACGGATATTCCATCTCCGGTAATTTAGAGTTTGGTGGCAAATGGGCTTTTTAATATGCTGCTTCGTCCAGGCTTATGCTGATGATTTTGTCATATTGTCACGTCACACAATATTCACATTCCGCAATAGACTAACTGTGTTTGAAATGAAATCCAGACCAAAGATCACTTGTTTTGCAGAACATAGTCGGTAGAAATACTAACATAAACATCTTTAAGTTCATAGCAGACAGTTGGAATCATAAGGAAATAATTATTCAAAAAATGATAACACGATTTAAGTGGTTAATCAACGGAGTTAAAAGACAAATTAAATCCAGACAAACTCTTATGCAAAAATTTTTTCTCCAATTTATCTTAATTATAAATTTATTCAAATTTTTGCACTTTACTCCAAATGAATAAATTTTTCCGCGAAATTTTTTTATCAAAGAAAAAAAAAGTAAAAGTGATTAATCAACTATAAAAAAAATTAAAATCCAAATTTTCAACTTTAAAATGTCAAAAAATATAAAATAAGCGAAAATTTTTTTTGGATTGTTGTTTTTCTTTCTTTCTAACAAAGAGGTCACTCACTACTACCTTACGCACACATATTTAAATCCTTATATATGAATAACCAAACTCGAAAATAAAGTTGTGTGTACTTAAATTATGATTATGTAACTATACGCATAAATATGATAACATATGCATGTAACGTGGTAACAGTTACTTTTAGAGCATTATTGTGCTTTAATCGTTGAAATTAGACGGAACTAAGTATATTAAAGTATTTTAAATACACATAAGATAATTTTACCTCATATAACATCGAATTTATACACTACAGGTAGAAGAATGTCTTTTCTTAATAATTATAATATTTTTTTAATAAATATTGTGTATCAAAAAATATAAAATTACTTGAACTTTGAATAAAAACTAATTATAATTTTAATACTTATAAAATAAATTTTTTCTTTGAATAACAATATTAAGCTAATCAAGTGTATTTAACTCATAATCTAAAGTCGAAAAATTCTAAATGAAATTGGGATTAATTTACAAATCATCATGAGTTACATATATTTCAAAATTTTACCCTAATGCCTTTCGAACAAAAACTTAAAATCTTTGAAAGCTTCACATTTTTATAAATTTAATCTGTTTTCAAAAACGGAATATATATACTGTCTACTGTTCAAGAAAACAGTTTCTAAAATTCTTTTATTTATTATTCAGCAATTTATTAATGAGGAATCCTACGTGGACTCCTTAAGAGTAGAATATTGCTAGTTTTATCACTAAGTAGCTACAATAAACCCGCACTAAATTTCGATTAATACAAAAATATTCGCAAATTCCAGGAAGAAATTTGTTTATTTTTTTTTGGGCGTAATTTTCTTAAGAAATTTTTTACAATAGACCTTAAACTTTTAATTCTAATTTAAATGTATATGGAACTTATGAATGGAGAATAAAAGAAAATAAAAATTTATTGAAAGTTAAGCATTTTATTACAACTTTTTTGTTTTTGTTTTGATAAAGATTATAACAATTAAGTAGTTATATAAGTTGTGTAGTCTAATTTCATAAATCCATTATTAATTGGAAAACAGTTATCGTATATACCTACAAAATTTCTATTGTTTAAAATTTTATATTGCATACTTATCTTGTGTAATAGTCGAGTAAGTTATAAAAGTTGATAATTAAACTAACATTTTTACTAGGGCCCAGACAAAGATTAAAATTTTTGTATAACTATAAAATTTTCATATACTTATACAATTTTATGGAAAATGCATTCATATGAAAATTAATTAAAATTTACAGTTATGTTCAATATTATATGATAATACAACTACAACAAATACGTTTGGTTATCGAACAATGCACTGGAATTGAAAAGTAACTTGAGCCTATTAGATGAATAAGTCTACTTGAGTCTTTAATTCAAATAAATTGAAATTTGTAAATGTTTATGCAGTATACATATAAGTAACAAAGTTTTGATAAATTCCAAATGTATGAAAGATAAGTCAATCTTTAATATAGCTTTAACCATATTCATACCTTATATGTTTATTTCATACATTTACGTTATATATTAATATTTTTATATTCTTACCTTTAGCATTGTTTTATTAATCCTTCTTTGAATTGGTATATCATAATCCTGTTGGATATATGATTGTTGCTGATTTTGTGTACAACCATTGTATGCATTCAAACCTATTGTTGTTGTTACTGATGTTGGTGTCGATGGCATTGTTGTAGCTGAATCATTATTACAACAATTACTGTATACCGATTGTGATTGATCAATCATATTTGATTTATTTTTTTTTAACAAAATTTTAAAGAATTTTGAAATTTCAAATATTTTCTCCAAATATTTAGAATATAATAAACAATAATTTTAATTATTTATCTCCTTTATGTAGCAATTACTTAAGTATTTAAAATATTTATATTTGTATGTTAGCAAAATTACATAAAATATTCTACATATTACTTATGTATTCTCCATTTTATTAATAGTACACATTAAAATTTTTCGAACAAAATAAATTTATTTTTGTTATACGAGAACTTTAAATTTACTTTTAATGTAAATTATTTAAGAGAAGCTTAAGGACAATTTATGCTTATTATGCAAATTTTAATAATGATAAAAACACGTTCACATATAAAATAAATACACACAATATATACTATTACAACTTATATACTTATGTATTTTGAGTTATAATTATTATAACGTAGACGTATAAAGAATTAAAAATGTTTATGAGTTAGCAATTATTATAATTTAAGGTGTCATGTAAATCGTTTACTTGCATTAATATATTTTATTTTAAAATATTTTTTTTTAAATATTGACAATTTATATTATTTACTGCTTCATATTTATATAATATGTTTATTTGCGAATTGTAATTATAAGCTTATTATGCAAACATTAGATTTTCGAATTTATAACAATAATTTGTTTTTTAATGTACTTTTATTGTCAGAAAATTCAAATTAATTTTGCAAAACTAATTACAATTTTTTTTTTTAATTTCATTCGACGAAAAAAAATTTTAGTACTAAAAATTATTTAGTACTAAATTTTAGAACAAGTAAAAATATTTAATTTTTATACCTGTTATGCGTCAAATTTATTTTCCCTTATCAAATATTTGATTTGTTATTTTATGTTATTAATTTTTAATTATTAGTACTTATTTAGTACATACATTTGTTTAATTGATTATTAGGTTTTTATGATTTTTAACTGTAAATGCTGTTATTAAAATGTATAAATTCAATTTTTTTTAATATATTTTAGCTTGTTAAATTAAATTTATATATACTTATGGCAGGATTAGCACAAACTTTTAGTACATATTATTATTATTAATTAATTGCACATTCCACACATTAAATTGGCAGATTTTAAATACATTTATGGACTTCGAAGCACTATTGTTATAATTATACTTATATATAAAATGACCTTAATCAGAATTATTAAATTCTATTATATTTTAGTTTTAGTACACATAGATAGTTCTACTATACAATAGAAGGTTTAATGATTATATTTTATTGTTATAATTTTTTTGTTTTAATTTTTACTATCGATTTCGATTAATTTTAATCAATTTTTTTCCAATTTTTTTTTTTTATAATTTTTTAATCGAATAAAATAACACAAACAATTTCTAATCAGTGATAAAAATTTTTTTTTCGATTCATTTAAAATTTATAAATTTAGAACAAATTTTTATTATATTTTTTGCCATCTAAGTGTATAGAAATACTTAAATTGATAAGCTTATCTTATCATTTTCTTTAGCTTTACGAGCTCACATACACACTTACAAACTGTATATTTATTAGGTATTATGTACAATGTAAATTTATATTTTATGTTTAAATTGATTTTTTAGTATTTAAAAATCGAACCGAAAAAAAGCTTTACTTTTGCAAACAATTCCAAAAAGGTAAAAAAAAAATAGGTAAAAAATAACTAAAACTCGTCGTATCTAATCAGTTAAAAAAATTGTCGTGTTTGTTGTTGATTTTTAAATTTTTTATTTGATTTTCTTGTTGTTTTTTTTGGTTTACAATTTATACACTTATTATTGCGCGAAAAAAGGTTTCGTATATCTCACGTAAATAAATTATTTTTATTTTTAATCACTCTTTTGTTATTTTTTTATTATTTACGTGGATTTTTTTTGTAGCACGGATATTTTTGATTCGTTTATTTTTTTGTTATTTCTTGCAATATTCGAATGTTTATATTTTAATTAGAAAAAAATTTTAAGTTTCCGTCGTTTTAAAATTATTCATTTAAAAGACGTTATCCGCACAACGGTTTCAATGAAACTAAATGGGATTGAAACCGGCATTGGTATAATAGCAACAAAAAAAATTATCATAAAAGTAAAAAAAATAACAAATTAAAAACAGAAACAGCAAAGAAGAAACAAGAAAAGGAAAACAATAACAAAAAAAGTAGCAATTCAGAGAGAAAAAAGGTACACAGCAAAGCAATAAAAACATAAAAATATTTCTCTCTATCAAGTGAGATACAAAGTGGTAGAAAATGTAATGGATAATTTAATTATGGAGTTTTTAGACTTTAACTCCGCGGCTCTTGAATCTTTAAAAAAAATAAATTTCATTTTTGAATTTTTCGAATTTAATCACATTAAATAAGTATGAATTAAAATTATATCAGTAATTTCTATTTGCTCTCACAATCCTTGAAGATTATAATTTAAAACAAAAATTTCAAAATGAAATAAAAATGTAGCATGATATAAAAAATATTGAAAGGAATCTTGTAGCATGAAATAAAATTATTTATAGAATTTTTTTTTTGAAATTTTTCTTATAATTTTTAAAATTTTCTCAATTCTTTCATGATACAAATTTGTTCTAATGTAAAATAACCATATAGAGAAATTTGACAATAAATTTTCAGACATAAAAATTAAGAGATTCAGTTTATTGTGAGTATATAGCGTTGTAATTTCGTGATTTTTAAGTCATAAAGTGCAAAAATTGTTAGGAAAAATCGCATTAAAATATGCATAACGATAGTGACCACAAGATGAAATAATTGAGGGAGATGTATTAAATTCTCGAGACGAAATAAATATTTTTAAGAAACTTAATATATTACATAAATATTTCAAATATTAATTTATCAATGTAATTGCAGAACAGATTGTACTGAGAAAATTAAATGAGCTTGTCATTGCTACTTTATAGGATAATATGAATTCTTGATTCACAAGTTTAATGTTACAATATCTCCAAGATTTAATAATATTCTTGAACAATGAACGTTAAATTAAATCTTTTAGAACAAAAATTTGGGAGCTGAAACAATATTTCAGATGTTATCTTTGATTAAATTCTTCTTATTTAAATTAATTATTCATAACAATATCATAAATATTATACACAATATTTTTATTAACTTATAGTTGGGTGTGTGTGTGTGTAAATTAATATTATAATGTATATGTATATAAAAATGTGTATTCGAATATCTCGTTACTGAAAATGCCGCTGAAGCATAAATTGTAAATGCATTGTTTACATATATTTTTGCAAGTTATAAACAAATTTAAATATTAAGTGTTACCATATATTCGTGATTTTAATATTAAATAATTTTTTCGAATTCTTAAATATTTACCTCTACTTCAATGCTAAGTAAACAAAAGATAATTTGTAGTTCAAATGACTAATTTGTTTAAGCTAATGTTAATGATATTTTAAACACTGAAAGATACTTTCCGCCATGTGAGTTAATGCATAGATTAAAAGGGAAAATTTTAAATTCAAAAATTTTTTATAATTTTTACAATATTTGCTAGTCCTTCTACCTTTTGAGTGCAGTATTTTAATTATTAGGTTGTAAATCAAAAGTAGATGTTATAGGAATGCCTTTATTAACCCTGTACTCATAACTTAAAAGTGTTACTTTTCAAAACGTGAGTAATGGAAGTATTTTATGTCGCTCTAATAAGTTGTTTACTGAAATGTGACGTTTTGAAGAAGAAAAATATTTATTTTGAATGAACACTTTTTTTTATTTAATGGTGTCGTATCAATATTGTTATCGAGCATAAAAATATTGAGTACGCTTATGTTGATAAAGGGCTGTGTGTTTAAAATTTCATTTTCAATCTAGATTTTTTTTTGAAATTTTATTTAATATTAGAATTGCCTAAACCTTTTGCATTTTGATTTCGATTTGCAACCTATCGGTTCTATATATACTTTTTTCCATAACTCATTATCCATATTGTATGTGTTTCAATTTGTGAATAACAAATAAAAAATAAACAAAATTAGAGGTGTTGTTTGATGACATCACAAAATGCACACCTATAATTATCGCTCTGTTTATGAGTAATACTAAAAAACGCAATAGTTAAAATTCATAGACTTTTTGGCTTTTAAATTAACAAATAATTACGTTGTATAGATAACGTTTTTGTTTATTTTAAGTTATTCTACTTACAAACAACGTAAATTATGAATGAAACCTGATTCAGTTCGAGCGGAAGTGACTAATTCGACGGCATTAATATTAGTGATTACCTGTAATTATCATCAGATTATTACTAATGTAATAAACTGGAAAATTAATGCTGTTACACACTAGTAGATATAAGCCATACCAAAAAGAAAAAAAAAATTTAAGGTTGGCAATTCTCTACTGTAATGCGCTATATTTATATATATTTCTTCTTAATATTTTTATTATTTCTTCTCTCTTTCTTGCGCTCTAATTAATATAGACGTAATAACGTTTCTTCTTTGAAATTTTATTTTTTTCATTAATTATTCAGCAAATTCTTTTCTTTCTTGAAAAAATATTCAAGAATGAAAGCGAATTTACTAGTAATTAACATATTATAAATAAACTGAATTATTTCTTAATATCAAGATTTTTCTTATTCACTATCTATAAAGATTCTTTTATAAATTGACTTAATAAACTAAATATAAATTACAATATATAAAAGAACTATGAAAGAATGCATTTAAACTTGCGATAAGTGGATTCGATCTGAGAAAAAACGAAATTATTATTTTTACAAAGATGGGACGAGAAGGGTGTCGGATACAGAGTATGAATGAATGTATGATGGGTAAGTGTAGAGGAATCTATTCAATGAGACGAATTATTATATTTTTTTGCAAAAATATTATTTCTAGAGATCCAGTATGGTGATTATTATCCTTTTTCTCCAATGAATACAAAGAATTTTATATAAAATATAACACTAGTCGTAAATAAAAATTGCAAATTATGCTAATGAAGCCTAAAATTTATTATCCTTTTTTCCTTATTGTGAAGGAATGTTTTGTATATCAACTATGTGTCTCAATTTTCTTGAATGTTGATAAGTACATAAATACAGGGTGTTATCATTAATTTCCTAATGCGTTATTAATATTACAAAGTGAATTGAAAATTGCAGTCTGTTTCGACCAATTGCAATTCAGCCAACCTTAATAAAATTTTCCATACCAATAAAAACAGGAATGACCAAAGAGTACTACTGTTATGGAAGTTGTTCGAATTATATGTTCCGAATCATGGTGACTTATCATGAATTTTGATTGAATTGAATATAAAATTTTTGAATTTAATATAGAGATTCTTAACATTATTAACAAAATTTTTCTATAGAAGCGTTGAAGAAGAGTAATAATGCGTTTTTCGGAAGGCAATGGCATTAATAACAGAAAATATTTCAGCGAAATTGAGGGAAGGTAAAGTAAATTCAGGCAAATTCAGTATAAAATATGAGTTGTAATTTATATTTGGTTTCAGGAAAGCAAAAAATTTTTTAGATGATACTAAATTTCTCCGCATTATATAAAGTTTCTTGGGTCTAAGTCTCAATTTTGGTCTCAAGGGCAAAAATTTAAAAAAAAACGTTGCTTGACATGCATCGAAATCTTAGGCCAGTTG